GGGAAGGTGGCTCAGTGGTAGAGCGCTTGCCTTGCATGCTCGAGGCCCTGGGTTCGATTCCTCAGCACCACATAAGCAAAAAGAAAAAAGCCGGAAGTGGGGCTGTGGCTCAAGTGGTAGAGCGCTAGCCTTGAGCTGAAGAGGTGAGGGACAGTGCCCAGGCCCAGAGTTCAGGCCCCACAACTGGACCCAAAAAAAAAAATTAAAAAAATAAAGAATTAAAAAGAAGCTGGGGATATGGCTTAGTGGTAGAGTGCTTGCCTAGCATGCATGAAGCCCTGGATTCGATTCAATACAACATAAACAGAAAAAGCCAGAAGTGGCGCTATGGCTCAAATAGAGTGCTAGCCTGGAGCAAAAGAAGCTCAGAGACAGTGCCCAGGCCCAAGCCTGAACTGGCCCAAAAAAAAAAAAAAATTAAAAAGAGACTTCTTTGGAGAGAAAATAAGAATGTCCAATAGACACATGAAGAAATGTTCAACATCTCTGGCCATAAAAGAAATGCAAATCAAAACCACATTGAGATTCCACCTCATCCCAGTTAGAATGGCCATTATCAAGAAAACAAATAATAACAAATATGGGCAAGATGTGATCAAAAGGGAAGCTACTACACTGTTGGTGCAAATATAAACTTACTCAACCACTCTGGAAAGCAGTATGGAGGTTCCTTAAAATACTAAACACAGACCTTCCCTATGACCCAGCAATCCACTTCTGGGCATTTATCTAAATGATCACAAGCAAGGCCACACTAAAGCTACCAGCACAACATGTTTATTGCAGCATTATTTACCATAGCTAAGATATGGAACCAACCCAGATGCCCCTCAGTAGATGAATGGATCAAGAAAATGTGGTATATATGCACAATGGAATTCTATGCTTTCATCAGAGAGAATGACATTGCCTAATTCGTAAGGAAATGGAAAGACTTGGAAAAAGTCATCTGAAGTGAAGGAAGCCAAACCTAAAGAAACATAGGCTCCATGATTTCTCTCATTTGTAATGATTAGTATATGTCTAGGAGAGTCCTAGCAGAGGATCACAATACTTCAATAGCTATGTACATATGACCATATAAAATGATGTTAATCATTTTGATTAGAAAGAGGTCTTTTTTTGTTGTTGACCTTGTTGTTGTCAATGTACTCTATCAAGTTCTTTCTTTTTATATTTTTTTTCTCTTTCCCTTTGGTTTATCCCCAGTAGACACTGTTTTTGATTCTGGTGCCCTATGTCTTGTATATTTATCTGATTTGGGGAAGGAATGGGGAATAACAAAATGCTGAGACAAGGACAAAGGGTGAACCAATGCAGCAGTGGTACTCACAAGACACTATGTTGGAAATGAAGTTTACAACTTATAGGGTGAAGGGATAGGGGGACAAAAGTGAAGAAGTAGATAATAATGTTCAACAAGAAATGTACTCATTACCTTACTCAAGTAACTGTAACCCCTCTGTACAGCATCTTTACAATAAAATTAAATTAAATTTTAAAAAAGGCATTTTATAACTGATATGTACTTTTCCCAAGCATAATTACAATAGATGTAGATATACATAAGACAAGCAGAAACTTTTTTTATTGTGAAAATACTGTACAGAGGGGTTACAATTACATGGGCAAGATAATGAGTACATTTCTTATCAAGCATTGTAGCCTCCTCCTTT